GACCAGTATAAATTGGATAGCACCCACAAGTACGTCGCTACTAATTAATTGTGGACTGTATAGATTATATTAGTTTAACTGAACGAAGGGGGGGGGGGTAGGTTACACATGGATATATGTATCCATCAAGGAAAAACACTTGTACATAATCTCACCACTTACCAGATATTCTCTGGTCACTTGATGTAGCTGGATCACCCATAACCTATCCAATTACAACATACCTAACTGGACAGTATCAGTCTGATATAACTAGAAGGGTTACTTAACTGTGGGGGATTGATGCTCCTTATTTCCTCCATTCAACATCTCATTTCGATGTCCTGCTACACCGACACAGTTCTTATTCCAGCAGGACGAGGTATTCGTTGGTTTGTCCCGGTTTAGAAGTCGTGACTCCTTTAAAAACTTCACTACCCCGGGGAAAGGGAAAAATTTAGGTAACTTTTGCACACTCACTCTGGGAAAGGCAGTCCAAAATTTGCTTCAACGATTCCCCTTTAAATTTTGTGTTAAATTTTCACTGATTACATTAAAAATTCAAAAACGGGTTTAATTCTTTAAAATTTTTTTGCACATTAGAGGGGCCCTTTAAAATTTAAAATCTGAGGGCCCATGAGTGATGATTAAAACATGGGGATTTTCCCCGGACCCCACCCATTTGGGGGGTGCACCTTTGGCACCACAGGTCCTACCATTATTCACTAATTTTACCACTTATTACAGCGGTCCCATCAATCACATTCCCTCACTCTTCGCCAGGAACAGTTACGACACTTCCTATTATGAAGTGAGGCCTATATTAACTTAGGCCACCGTGAATGCCAATTTCCTGGTCCCATGCTGCCCATCAGCGCAGGCGCAGAGCTTCCCTGTTGGTTCTAGTCCATTTTCAAATACATTTTTGACCCATATCGACACATTAAACACATATTAGGCACTATAACTTCGGAAGATTAAACTATTTTCCACAAGCTATATGAAATAATCAGTACTTGGGTGATTTATGATAATCTCCTAACTAAACAAATTAAGATCAAAGAAATAAGAGTAAGTTTACATTGTGGAAATTCTAAGTGAACTGCTTTCCGTGGCTCTAAGAAACAAGAGGAAAGAAGTATTATATTGCTGGTACACGTGGTGACGTGTACTTAGCTCTGTGAAGACCTGTTTGTGTGCTCTCTGTGAATCTGAACCAGGATGCCCTCTCTTGAGCAACTTTACCAGCAGAGAGAAGAGCTCAGAGTTGCTAAGATGGAGATACGGCGATTAACGGAGGAGAACAAGAGGATTAGTAGTAATCCTTCTGTTGTGAGTCCCCAGGTTAAGAGGGGAGCTTGGTCAGTGGCCAGGCAACATGGAACCAAGCTGAAGATCAAGAAAACGGTTGGAGAGGCAGAAACAACGAGAAACCAAAGACTACCGTGGAAACTTCCAACCCATTCTCGGTGCTACCTGACGAATGTGAGTGTTCTACTGGGAATGCCACAACGAGCACCAAAGAAGCATTGGCAGACGTGAGTAAGACATCCCCAGAAGCCCCAACGAAGACCATCGAGAACGTCTTGACGAATTCTACAAGTGGTGTAATGCTACCTGGTGAATGTGAGTCGACTACTCGGAGCATCACGACGGACGACGCCAAGGAAGGTAAAAAACATTGTTGTTGTTGGGGATAGCCAGATTAGGTACATGGATAGGGCATTCTGCTTGAAGGATAGGAGTAGGAGGCAGAGAGTGTGTTTTCCTGGGGCTGGGACGAAGGATATTGTTAGCCGTCTGGATGACATCATGAGAGGTAATGGGAGCAATCCTATTATCTGTCTCAGTGTTGGAGGCAACGATGTTGGCAGACGTAGGAGTGGGGACCTGATTAGCAGGTATATGTCAGCAATAGAGATAATTAGGAGGAAGGGTGGGAAACCTGCCCATATGTGGCATTTTGCCAAGGAGAGGAGTTGGAAATGAATGGTTGTCCAGAGCAATTGGTGTCAATTGCTGGCTGGACAAATACTGTAAGGAAAATGCGGTAACATTCATTGACAACTGGGATCTCTTCTATGGCAGAAATGACACGTATGCCAGGGATGGGGTTCACTTATTTAGGTGTGGGGTGGGAGCACTGGCCAACGCAGTGGAGGGAGCTGTTAGGTCTTTAAACTAGGAATAGTTAGTGGTATGGGTTTTGGCGGGAAAACTGTGAAGTCACAAGGTAGTAATATGAGTACTAGGAGAACTAGTAATAGGCAAAATGAGGTGGATATTGGAAAGCCAGTGGCACTAATTGACAAGGACAGTAATAGGTTTAGTGGAATAACAGAAAGGAGCAGGAAGGGTAAAGAGAGAGGAGGGTCTTTAAATATTTATTACACAAATAGTCGCAGTACTAGGAATAAGATGGACGAGTTGAGACTAGTTGCTAGTGCAGGTAACATAGATATATTTGCCATTACTGAGACGTGGTTTAATTCAAAAAGTCGGGACATGCCTGCAGAATGTCACATTCAGGGTTTTAAATTGTTCCAAGTAGATAGAAGTATCGGGAAGGGGGTGGGGTGGCATTGTATGTCCGAGATCGCTTGAACTGTTGCATAAAAACGGGTATTTAGTCTGAAGTAACACATACAGAGTCTGTTTGGATAGAATTTTCAGAGGGGCATGAAAAATTAATTTTAGGTGTGATATACCGTCCCCCAAATTTAGATAGGGACCAGGGGAGACTACTATGGGAGGAAATTGTTAGGGCAACAAGGCACGATAATGTAGTAATTCTAGGAGATTTTAACTTTAGTCATATTGATTGGAATTTCTTGACTTGGAATTTAGAATCATACGACTTCTTAGAAGTAGTTCAGGATTGTTTTTTGAAGCAGTTTGTGACAGAACCTACAAGGGGTAATAACCTGCTTGACTTAGTTCTGACAAACAATGAATCCCTTGTTAATAATTAAGAAGTTTCAGAGGAACTGGGTGCTAGCGACCACAAATCAATTACATTTAGAATTGAATGGAAGTATGATAGTAGGGATAACTCAGTAACAGTCCCAAATTTTCGCTTAGCAGATTACGATGGGCTTAGAGAATACTTATCATCTGTTGACTGGGGTAACGAAGAGAGCTATCAATATGACAGTTGTCTGAACACAATACATGCTGCTCAAAGAACGTTTATCCCTTATAAGGAAATTAGATCAAATAGAAATGACCCAAAATGGATGAATAATAGGCTGAAATATCTACTAGGCATAAGAAAGGAATTTATAGGCGTATCAAAAGAGGCGAGGTCATCTTATGAATCAGTATATTGACATTAAGAGGGACATTAAAAAGGGGATAAGAAAAGCTAAAAGGGACTATGAAATTAAAGTTGCTAGGGATTCTAAAACTAACCCAAAAAGTTTTTTCCAGGTATATAGAACAAAAGTCAGAGATAAGATAGGTCCCCTTAAAAATAACTATGGGCATTTTACTGACAAAGAGAATGAAATGTGCTCGATTTTAAATAATTATTTTCTCTCGGTTTTTACACAGGAAGACACTAATAATATTCCGGTAATTAATTTTTATAGTGAATCAGAAGAAGATAAATTATGTAACATCACAATCACTAGTGAAATGGTTGTGAAGCAGATAGACCGACTGAAGCAAAATAAGTCACCGGGTCCTGATGAGTTTTTTTCAAGGGTTCTAAAGGAATGCAAAATGGAAGTCTGTGAACCATTATCTAATATTTTTAATTTATCTCTTCAAACAGGTGTAGTGTCTGATATGTGGAAGATGGCTAATGTAATTCCTATTTTTAAAACAGGGGACAAGTCGTTACCGTCAAATTACCGCCCAATAAGCCTGACCTCAGTTGTAGGCAAATTACTAGAGTCAATTATAGCTAAGATTATAAGAAGCCATCTCGACAAGCATAGCTTGATTAATGATACTCAGCATGGATTCACAAGAGGCCGGTCTTGCCTAACTAATTTATTAACTTTCTTCAGTAAAGCTTTTGAGGCTGTTGACCACGATAAACAATTTGATATTATTTACTTAGATTTTAGTAAGGCATTTGATAGAGTTCCGCACCAAAGACTGTTGAAGAAAGTAGCAGCTCATGGCATTGGGGGAAGAGTGCTCTCGTGGATCGAATCATGGCTCACAGACAGGAAGCAGAGAGTGTCCATAAATGGGGTTAAATCCGAGTGGGGATCTGTAACAAGTGGCGTTCCACAGGGATCAGTCTTGGGCCCGTTGTTGTTTATAATATATATCAATGATCTTGATGAAGGAATTACTAGTGATATGAGCAAATTCGCCGATGACACGAAGATAGGTAGGATAATTGATTCAAACGTAGATGTTAGGGAACTTCAGGAGGATTTAGACAAACTCTACTCTTGGTCAGAAAAGTGGCAGATGCAGTTCAATGTAGATAAATGCAAGGTTCTGAAGCTCGGGAGTGTCCGCAAAAACGCATGTGTTCAACATAGAGACGATGTTGGACACCTCATGAAATTCATTGAAGCTGAACTAGTTATTAAAGAAGACGGCTTAAGACGGAGAAAATGCATTGGAGCTGCACTAATTTCTGTCAGTAACACTATAAAGCAAAAATCCGGTAGTTTCAGTATTTCAAAATTACTAAGCAAGAGGATATTACCCATCCTGGGAACTGGTGTTACTTGATGCCAGCAGGTCCCTCTCTTGCCTCACCTCCTTAGTTCCATTACTACTACTATTACTACTACTACTACTACTACTACTACTACTACCACCTCTACTCACGCGTCACCTCACCTGACTCCTGCCACTATATATATAAATGTTTTCTTAGTTTTCTCTGTATTAGGACTGAAGAAGCCACTCGTGGCGAAACGTTTCCTTTAATAAATGTCCTGAACTGTACATAAGTGTCTTTTTCCGCAATTAATTTGTTGACAGTATTGGACAAGTGTTCTTGATTTTATCAAAATGTGAACAATTTATACTGACAGAAAGCAAATTTACAGATGTCATCGCTGCTTCATGTACGAAGACCCATGTTGGGTGGTCAGTTCTGGAGGCAGTGGGGCAGCCGCCTCAAGCAATGGGACAGCCACTTCGTGCAGTGGGACAGCCACTTAGCGCAGTGGGACAGCCACTTCCGGCAGTCAGTGAAACTTTCAACAAGTGCTCTATCGTCTCATCCTTTCTCCTCCAGTATGCCCCATGATAGCTCCAGGTACAGTATGCCCCTTGATAGCCTCAGTTACAGTATGCCCCTTGATAATGCCAGGTACAGTATGCACCTTGATAGTCCCAGGTACAGTATGCCCCTTGATAGCTCCAGGTACAGTATGCCCCTTGATAGCATCAGTTACAGTATGCCCCTTGATAATGCCAGGTACAGTATGCACCTTGATAGCCCCGGGTACAGTATGCCCCTTGATAGCTCCAGGTACAGTATGCCCCTTGATAGCCTCAGGTACAGTTTTCCCCTTGATAATCCCAGGTACAGTATGCACCTTGATAGCCCCGGGTACAGTATGCCCCTTGATAGCTCCAGGTACAGTATGCCCCTTGATAGCTCCAGGTACAGTATACCTCTTGATAACCCTAGGTACAGTATGATCCTTGATAGCCCTAGGTTCAGTATGCACTTTGATAGCCCCAGGTACAGTATGCATCTTAATAGTTCCATGTACAGTATGCACCTTGATAGCTCCAGGTACAGTATGCCCCTTGATAGCTCCAGGTACAGTATACCTCTTGATAACCCGAGGTACAGTATGCCCCTTGATAGCCCAAGGTACAGTATGCACCTTGATAGCCCCAGGTACAGTATGCACTTTAAAATAGCCCCAGGTACAGTATGCCCCTTGATAGCCCCAGGTATAGTATGCATCTTGATAGCCCCAGGTACAGTATGCATCTTGATAGTTCCACGTACAGTATGCACCTTGATAGCTCCAGGTACAGTATGCACCTTGATAGCCCCAGGTACAGTATGCATCTTGATAGTTCCACGTACAGTATGCACCTTGATAGCTCCAGGTACAGTATGCACCTTGATAGCCCCAGGTACAGTATGCATCTTGATAGTTCCACGTACAGTATGCACCTTGATAGCTCCAGGTACAGTATGCACCTTGAAAGCCCCAGGTTGAGTATGCCACTTGATAGCACCAGGTACAATATGTCCATTGATAGCCCCAGGTACAGTATGCACCTTGATAGCCCTAAGTACAGTTTTCCCCTTGATAGCACTTAGTACAGTATGCCCCTTGATAGCCCCAGGTACAGTATGCCCCTTGATAGCCCCAGGTACAGTATGCACATTGGTAGCTCAAGGTACAGTAAGCACCTTGACTGCCCCAAGTACAGTATGCACCTTGATAGCCCCAGGAACAATATGCCCCTTGATAGCCCCAGGTACAGTATGCCCCTTGATAGCCCCAGGTACAGTATGCACATTGGTAGCTCCAGGTACAGTATGCACCTTGATAGCGCCAGGTACAGTATGCATCTTGAAAGCCCTAGGTACAGTGTGCCCTTGATAGCACCAAGTTCATTATGCCCCTTGATAGCCCCAAGTACAATATGCACTTTGAGTGAGTTGGACTTGACTAGATTGTGCCAATAGGCCTGATGCCGTGTTCCTTCCTTAAGTGGATGTGACCTGGACCTGACTGAGTTGGGTCAGTGGCTTAAGCCTCACATGTAGGCCAGCTGCAGTGTTAAGAACATAAGAAAGGAGGAACACTGCAATATGCCTGTTGTCTCATACTAGGCAGGTCCTTCACAAATCCAACCCACTAACAGAATAAACTCTAACCAAGTAAAAAGCTTTGATAACAATTCAATCATGTGGAAGTCTCACTCAAATTCAACTTATGAGTGTATGTGAGTGGGTGTCAGGGTGTGTGAGTTGACGTGAGCGTATACTCACCTAATTGTACTCCCCTTAATTGTGGTTGCAGGGGTCGAGACTCAGCTCCTGACCCTGCCTTTTCACAGATTGCTACTAGGTCCTCTCCCTCTCTGCTTCCTGAGCTTTGTCATACCTCGTCTTAAAACTATGTATGGTTCCTGCCTCCATTACGTCACTTGCTAGGTTATTTCACTTCCTGACGACTCTGTGACTGAAGAAATGCTTCCTAACATCCCTTTGACTCATCTGCGTCTTCAGCTTCCAATTGTGGCCTCTTGTTTCTGTGTCCCCTCTCTGGAACATCCTGTCTCTGTCAACCTTATCTATTCCCCGCAGTATCTTGTATGTCGTTACCATGTCTCCCCTGACCCTTCTGTCCTCCAGCGTCGTAAGTCCGATTTCCCTTAACCTTTCATCTTACGACATTCCCCTGATCTCTGGAACTAGCCTTGTTGCAAACCTTTGTACTTTAACTTCTTGACCTGCTTGACCAGGTGTGGGTTCCAGACTGGTGCTGCATACTCCAGTATGATCCTAACGTACAGTGTACACTGTCTTGAACGATTCCTTATTAAGGTGTCGGAACGCTATTCTCAGGTTTGCCAGGCACCCATATGCTGCAGCAGTTATCTGCTTGATATGTGCTTCAGTAGACATGCTCGGTATTATGGTCACCTCAAGATCTTTCTCCCTGAGTGAGGTCTGTAGTCTTTGTCCAACTAGCTTATACCCTATCTGCGGTCTTCTCTGCCCTTCCTCAATCTTCATGACTTTGCATTTGGCAGGGTTGAATGCGAGAAGCCAGTTTCTGGACCACGTATTCAGTCTGTCCAGGTCTCTTTGTAGCCCTGCCTCATCCTCATCCGATTTAATTCTCATCAACTTCACATCATCTGCAAACAGGGACACTTCAGAGTCTATCATGTCTTTCACATATATCAAAAATAGCACTGGTCCTAGAACTGACCCCTGTGGGACCCTGCTCGTCACAGGTGCCCACTGTGATACATCTTCACGTACCATGACTCGTTGTCGCCTCCCTGTCAGGTATTCTCTGATCCATTTGCAGTGCCCTCCCTGTTATATGTGCCTGATCCTCCAGCTTCTGCACTAATATCTTGTGAGTAACTGTGTCAAAGGCCTTCCTGCAGTCCAGAAAAATACAATCCACCCACACTTCTCTCTTGTGTCTTACTTCTGTTACCTTGTCATAAAACTCCAGAAGGTTTGTGACACAGGATTTGCCTTCCATGAATCCATGCTGATTGTCACTTATAATCTTTTTCCGTTCCAGGTGCTCCACCACTCTCTTCCTGATAATCTTCTCCATGACTTTGCATACTATACACGTCAGAGACACAGGTCTGTAGTTTAGTGCCTCGTTTCTGCCAACTTTCTTAAAAATGGGACTACATTTACTGTCTTCCATATCTCAGGTAGTTGCCCAATTTCAAGGGATGTGTTGAAGATTGTGGTTAGGGGCACGCACAGCATCTCTGTTCCTTCTCTTAGGATCCACGTGGAGATGTCCGGTCCCATCGCCTTTGAGGTATCAAGGTCATTTAGCAGTTTCTGCACCTCCTCCACCGTCGTTCGTATGTCATTCAACACTTGTTGGTATATTCCTTGTTGATGTTTCCCTCTGTGCTGTCTTCCCAGAGCCCTTCCTGTCTCTACTCTAAAAACTTCCGTAAATCTCGTTTAGCTCCTCACATACTTCCTCATCGTTTCTTGTGAGTTCCCCACCTTCTGTCCTCAGTCTGATCACCTGGTCTTTGGCTGTTGTCTTCCTCTTGATGTGGCTATACAACAGTTTCGGGTCAGTCTTGACTTTCGATGCTATGTTATTTTCATACTGTCGCTGGGCCTCCCTCCTTACCTGTGCATACTCGTTCCTGGCTATGCGAGTAAATCTCCCTATTTTCATGTGTTCTATGCCTTCTGCACTTTTTCCATTCTCTATTGCACTTAGTTTTTGCCTCTTTACACTATCGAGTAAACAAGGGGCTCATTCTGGCCTTCCCATTGTTTCTGTTGCCCTTGGGAATAAACCTTTCCTCCGCCTCCTTGCATTTTGTTGTTACGTATTCCATTATTTCATTTACTGACTTTCCTACCAGTTCTCTGTCCCACTGAACCTCCTGCAGGAAGTTCCTCAAACCTATGTAGTCCCCTCTTTTATAGTCTGACTTTTCCCATTCAACTCCTCTTACCCTCTCCACTTGTAATTCTACTATGTATTCAAAGCACAGAACCATGTGGTCACTAGCTCCTATGGGAATCTCATATGTGACGTCCTCAATATCTGAACTGCCCAGGGTGAACACAAAGGTCCAGTCTTGCTGGTTCATCCTCCTCTCTCATTATGGTAGTGTCTTTAACATGTTGGTGCATGAGGTTTTCCAGTACCACATCTTGGCTCTCCATGTTTTGGGACCCCTATGTGGCTCCAGGTTTTCCCAATCTCCCTGTGGTTGAAATCACCCATAACCAGCAAATTTGCTGAGCTCGAGTGAGCTCTTCTTGCCACCTCAGCAAGTGTGTCCACCATTGCTCTGTTGCTCTTTTCATATTCCTCTCTCGGCTTCCTGCAGTTCTGTGGTGGATTATACATCACTTGAATGACCACCTTGTGCTCCCCAGACTGAAGTGTACCTACTATGTAGTCCCTTTATTCAATCTCGTCTATGCCTCCCATTTTCTCGTATTTCCATCGGTTTTTTATGAGCAGTGCAACCCTTCCTCCCCCTCTGCCCCTTCTATCTTTCCTCATGATCTGATATCCTGGTGGGAAGATTGCGTCTGTTATTGTCTCAGTGAGTTTCGTTTCTATAACTGCTATGATGTCTGGGGACTTCTCATTGATTCTTCCTTACCACTCCTCATATTTATTCGTTAATCCATTGGTGTTTGTGTATCAAACCTTCAACTTCTGTACTAAAACTGAAACTGTGGTCCTGGGGGAGTATAGTGGTTGGGAGAGCAGGAGCCCTGGCAAGGACTTGTTGGGGTGGGGGAAGAGTTCCCATAGTGGGTTGCCGTAGGGGTAGGGTTCGTGGTGTGAAGGGTGGGGACAGAGGTATCGGTGTGTGATTGTTGATTTAGATTGTTCAGTTGCCTTGGAGGAGTCATGGTTGGAGTCCTTCTGTGGGTGTTTCTGGGGGTTGTGCTTGCCCTTCCTCCTGTGCCTGGGTTATTCATCTTTTCTTTGTCAATTCCTCATATTTCCTCCTTTCATTTTTGCACTCTCTCTTTCAGTATCATCCTTTCCTCATTTGTTCTGTCTCAATTGAGGTACACACTCTGGAACT